AGCTCACTATAGCCTCAAACTCCTGGGCTCAGGTGATCTTCCTGCCTCGGCCTCTCCAATTGCTGGGATTATGGATATGAACTGCACCTGGCCAGAAAATAATGTTATAAAGGACATTTTGAGAGACAATTGGGGAAGTCTGAATGTGGACTATGTAGTAGAGAATTTGTGTCAATGTTACAGCTCTTAGATGTGGTGATGGCCTTGTGGTTCTGTCGGAGAATGTTCTCGTCCTTAGGAGATACATGATAAAGTATGTAAGTATCTCGGTGTCTGCAAAGGTCTCACAAATGATTCAACAAGATAGATATTGCATATGCGAAGAGAGATAGCACATGTGGCTGTTTTTAAAGGAGGGGGAGATTGTGGGTAGGGTACCCACCTAGTGATTGTCTCCACAAGCCCTGGTTCTCCTGGAAGATGGCGGCACTGAGCAGCTGGAGGTGGAGAGGTCTGCGGGCCTGTTTGGGAACCAGTTTATGAGTAGGAACAAGGCTCAGATGGGGACAAGAGGAGGTGAGGATGGTGTATGGTAGAAAGAATATGGGGTTTGGAGGCAAAAGGCCTGGATCCACTTGTTAGCAATGTAGCCTTTGGTAAGTCACTTAACCATTTTGTGTCTCAATTCCCCTATCTGTGAAAAAAAGAAGAGGGGTGTCCAGCTTGTGAGATTCAAGAGAGGAAACAGATGAGAAATCCCTTGATAAACTGGAGCCTGCTGCTGCATGCGGACGTGTCTGTCATTACTCAGAGCCAGCTGGTCTCCGGGCCCAGGAACACTGGGTAGAAGGAGCATGTTAGGACAGGGATGCTAGTGGAAATGTAGGCCCCTGCAAGCTGGACTGCCTTCCGCCCTGGGGAGCCAGGTAAGGCAATGTGGACCCCAGCAGGGCTGAAGAACTGGGGCAGGGCAGGCCTGAGCCAGGACACAGGCACACTCTGTTGTGCTTGGCTCAGAAAGAGGCCTCCTCTCCCCTCAGACCCCCAGGAGGATCCTGATGGGTGAGGCCTCCCAAAGCATGTTGGGAAGGCACTGTGGCCAGAAATGGGACACAGGGTTCATGTGTAAATGACCCAAACCACTGCATGGCTGTGCTTCTCATTTCTCCTGTTAGACTGTAGGTCCCTGAAGGCCCCTGCTTGGCTTCATCCCACCCCACCCTGACCCACGCTGCTTGCCATAGCATGAGGGCTCCGGAAACGCTTATCACCTCCAGGAAGGACCCAGGCTCTGGTCTGAGTTGGTGTGTAATCCAGGATGGGTTACTTCCTTCCTCTAGGCCTCAGTTTACCCAGAATCCATAAAATGGGGCGATCCATCCCTGCCCGACCTATACCAGTGTACAGAGGAAAAATCCCATACTTTGGAGGCTGGGAGATCTGTGTTCCAATCCTGGCCCCACTGCCTGCCAGTTGCAATGAGGAGGCTTCTCATCTCACAACCTCCATTTCCTTCTCCATTACAGGGAACATGTCCAGTGTGCAAAGTTATTGCAATAAATTGAGACAAAGTCAATGCAAATAACTGGCATGTCATTTATTGGTTTATTGTCTTTCTCTCCCACTAGGATGTCAGCCCCATGAGGCAGAGACTTGGTCCTGTTCCTTGCTGTACCAAGCGCCCGGGATGCTGCCTGGCACTCAATAAGAGATCCCTAAATAATCATTGGTTGAATAAATGGACATAAAGGGCGCTCAATAAGTGATAGTTTCCATTGTTATTCTAAAGTGTCCTGAGACAAAAAGCATTGGAAGTTCATGGTTTTTGAGAAAGGAAAGGTTCAAAAGCAAGTAATCTCCAGGGTTGGCACAGGGCCGTCTGTCTGCCAGGGGATGAAGGGTACCAGGAAAGCTGGGCTTATCTAGACGAGGGGACAGGACTATGTGCTCTTGAGAGGCAGGCAGGAGCATCCATGAGCGATGGGGCACTCGGGGCATCCTGTCTAACAGGCTCCCTCGCCCTAGCTGCCTGTGGCCAGGAGGAAATGCAGGCCCAGTCTGCCAGTGCAGCTGACTTTTGCTAAAGCAGCCAGAAATCCAGTGGAAAACAAGAATGTTTACAAGCAAAACGCAAATGAGAGCACACAAATTTCATCTGTAGGTTGGGAGGGGCCCGGTGGTGTAGCCCAACCTTCTTGGGCGATGTGGGCAGAAGGACCCCTTGGAGTGGCCTCCGTGGGGTTCTGGTCTCTCCAGCCTTCTCAGGCAGCCTCAGCCCCTGAGACATGAGACTCCACTTGGAGGAAGTGCCAACATGCCATCCAGATCTGAAAGGCCGGGATCACAGCCCGGGAAGGAACTGCTTCCCTGTGTTCTTGGACTCACAGTGGTATCCAGGCTTTGGGACTCCTGGGCTCAGAGAAGTCAGCCCACAGCGCCTGGTCTATGGAGATGTTCCATAAATATTCACTGAACAAGTCTCTTCATTGTGACTTTGAGCACAGCTCTCCGTCTCTGGGCCTCATCTACAAAATGGCCACGGTAATGTGGCCCCACCTACCTCACAGAGATAACGGAGAAATCAAGTGAGATGAAAGGGGTAAAAGTTTTTGTTTCTGAACAGCAAAGTGCTTTACAAATGCCAGGTGTGGGCATTCTAGTTGTCATTATTATTATGAGCAAGACACTTTTGCCAGAGCAGAAGAAGGGGGCCTGGACCCAGAAGAGCAGAAAATCTATAAAAACATCACAAGGAGGGTCTGGATGGAGCCCACCAGGGCTCGTCACAGAGGGGACATGTGCTCACTAGCTCTGAGACAGACCCAGTCATGGGATATAGGCTCGACCTCCTTCCCGGCCACCTGGCCTCCTGCTCAGTGGAGGACCCGGTCAGGTCAGGCTGTATCTCCCCAGAGGGTTTCTGGGAAAACACACAAACCCCACCTGTGCTGTCCATGAAATATAGCAACTATATAAATAATATAAATACTTTCTCATATATCTTAGCTACATAAATTATTCTCCTTTGCTCTAAAAACTATATATTTGAGGTAGACAAAAATACCCTGTGAGCATTTCCCTTAAAGCTGTAGAATGAGGGGTCAGTGGTCACTCTAGTCCCCAGGGGCCCCAAGAGGGCAGAGGTGGGTCTTTAGGGGTAACTGGAAAAGAAAGGGATGAGAGCAAGGAAGGAGAAGAGAGGGAGAGAGACAGACAGAGAAGACCCCACAAGCCAAGGAGCCCTCAGAACCTGCACTGTGCCATTGACTTGGGGTGTCCATGTCAGCAGCCAGCCACTGCCTAGATGCCTTAGAGCCTGCCCTTTGCTCTCCCGCGACCCTGGCACTGCCAGTCATGAAGTCAGAATGTGGGTGGTGTGTTGGTGGATCAGGGTGCTCTGGCCCCCAAGTTGCTCCCAGGCCCCGTGTTCTGCCAGTGAGGTCCCTGCTGCCTTATGCCCAGCACCGAGCCTGGGTGGAGGCAGAGTTGGGGTCTCAGAGGAGCAAGATGGATTGGGAAGGCAGAGAAAGTCTCTCCATGCTGTGGGAAAGCGGAAGAAACAAGAGAACCAGCCCTCTCCCCATTTTCCGTCTGCCAAGGTGTGGGCCAGGTGCTTGGGTCAGCAACGTCATTTTAACGAGAGGGGCGCAGGTCAGTTTGGCTTCTCGGCTGAGCCTCTGCAGTCGAAAATCCTTCCAGCATCCACCAGACTGCCCTGATCCACTGGAGACTGGGCAGCTCCTCCTCACCCTTGGAGGTCTCAGGGAGTCGGCCGGGGCCCAGGGAGTGGGCCTTTGTCCTGGAGCTGGCACAGGAGAGGTTTCTGAGCATTCAGCTGATTCTGAAGTTTTCTGTGTCGGTGAAGGGTCAGCAATTCTAGGTTTAGGGAGAAAGGAAGCTGACAGAGGGGCGTGGCAGGGCCAGCAAAGTGGCCAAGGGCTTCCCGAAAGAAGTCACTTCCTCCTGGCTGGCATCGGGCCCCACTCTGGGGAAGTACAATGCCTCCAGCAAGGTGACCCCTGCAAGGTCTTCATCCTGAACCAGAGAGGCGTGTGCAACAGGAACCCCCAGTTTGGTTCAGGGGCTGTGCATCCATGTGTGCCTGTGCGGAGGTGCCGGTCTCTCCTCCTCTCACAGAGGGCCTTGGCAGGTGTTGCTGAAAATGTCCACGGGATCTGAGGAAATGATCAAAGTCACGTCTCCTCAAGTAAGAGCCAAAGTGAGGGCCAAGTGAGAGGCCATTAGGCACTGAAGGAGGCTACCCAGGAGCCAGGCTTAGCAAGGACTCAAGCACCTATAACCCCAGCCAGGGCAAAGGCCTTAATTAGATAAGCAGCCGCAAGACTAGAAATGTAACTTCAAGTCATAGCTCCTGAGCCTGCTGGTCTTCAGTATTGTGAACTCAGCTGGTGTGGGGGCATCACAGACCAGGCAGGCCCCAGCCACAGGAAGTCACCAAAGCTGTCTCAAGAGCCAGCTGAGAAACTGAGCTTGCCACGTCACTGCCAGGCACTAGGAAGCTGTCGCCCTCCTCCTCTGGGTTGGGAGTAAAGATTCCTTTGACCAGGAAGGAACACAGGGAGGGGCCGCTGTCTCCCTGTTCAACCTCAGGTCACTGAGTCCCGCCTTGGTGACTGATTCTCCCACCTGCCTTACCTGCACTGGTGGTCATTTTGAGCACATCTGGGTGAGTGTGCATAACCCAGCTCTCAAGACAAGAATAAGGCCTCAGGCGAGGCATATTTGAAAAGCCAAAACAAGGACACAGGGCTCCAGGGCACAGATCTCACTTGGGTTCACTCAAGCGCAGAAAGCTCTCCTTTCTCTGAATGGATGGCTTCTACTGCTTGGGCTTTCTCCCCATCTCTGGCACAGCAAAACCAGGGGAGTGGTGGAGGTGTGTGACACCTGCAGCTCACTGCACCTGAGCGGGGCCACAGGACCCAACTGGCCCATCCCAGCCAGGATCCCACCTTCACTTCCAGCTGGCACTGCCTGCCTTGGCATTCCCAGCCCAGCAGTTCACCTTCCAAGAACATGCTGGCTCCAAGCCATTCATCCCAGGAAGCAAGATGGAATAGCCCCTCTCTCCCCTCCAAAACTTCAGTCCTGGTGTGCTCTTGGTCTCCCTTATTTCCCTCCACATCTTTCTCACTCTGCCCTCCTCTCCAAGTCCTCAACAAGGTTGGAGATGCTTGGGTTCAGGGATGAGGCTTTGCTTCTCTTTGTTGAGTATCAAAGGAGGCAAAAGGCTGGCCAAGGAATGGTGGTGAGCGGCACACTTGTGTGCATTGGCACACATGCCGGTTTATGCACATATGTGATGACTGCCTGCCCAGCAGGCCGGCTGGGCAGCTGGATGGGTGCCACGGGAGGTCCTGGCAGTGCCAGACTGGCTTGCTGGGCAGTAGGCCTAGTGCTTGCAGGTGTACACAAGCTCCTCCTGCACACATTGCTGGCACTCCACGTAGCAGCACCACTGCACCTGGCAGTGGCAGGAGAAGGCCACCAGGCGGCTCTGGGTGTCATAGCCCCGCCCGCAGCACAGGCTGCTGCAGCTGGCCTCCCGGGAGCACACCCTACCTGCCGTGCCAGGCGAGTACTTGCTGGGCCGGCAGAAGCTGGGCGAGTCCTCCATGTAGACCAGGTCCCCAGACCTTGGGGCCAGGCCTTTGGTGGGGCTGCCCTGCCTGGAAGGGGTCCACAGCTCTAGGCGGCCCAAGGCCTCATTGGTGGCACTGGACACCTTGACAGCCGAGTCATAGCGCAGTTTCAGCACCTGGCCCGTCTCACGGAACGGGGAGAGCTGCTTCCAGCAGGTGCGCACGGCACAGGAGCCTGACACGCCATGGCACTTACACGTCGTCCTGAGGCCACTCTTCACAGCCTGTGGGGGGAGGGAGAACAGAGGTGTGGTCAGAGGCCTGGGCCCAGCAGCCAGAGCCTGCCCCTAGAGCACCAACCCCAGCAAGGCAGCGGCAGGAGAATGGGAAAGAGACAGAGGAAGGTTCCCATGAGGGGGAAAGAGAGAACCCAAACTAGCCATGAGGCACCTTCGTGCAAACTATTAATAGTAAAAGACTCCCTTCCCCTTGGCAGAGACAGCCCTGTGCTGTGCCAATGTGCATGCCTTGGTGACAACAGAGTGGGCCAGGTCTCAGTCCCAGCTCCTCCCCTTGGCCTGGAGTTCTTGTGGAATAGACCATTTATGCAACTGAACACAGCAGCCCCGGTTCACACCAACTGAGTGACTGAACACAGCGGCCCCGGTTCACACCAACTCAGTGATTGAACACAGCAGTCCCAGTTCACACCAACTCAGTGATTGAACACAGTGGCCTAGGTTCACACCAACTCAGTGACTGAACACAACAGTGCCAGTTCACACCAACTCAGTGCTTGAACACAGTGGCCCCAGTTCACACCAACTCAGTAATTAAACATAGTGGTCCTGGTTCACACCAACTCAGTGACTGAACACAGTGGCCCCGGTTCACACCAACTCAGTGATTGAACACAGTGGCCCCAGTTCACACCAACTCAGTGACTGAACACAGTGGCCCTGGTTCACACCAACTCAGTGATTGAACACAGCAGCCCTGGTTCACACCAACTCAGTGATTGAACACAGCAGTCCTGGTTCACAACTCAGTGATGACAACTCAGAACTTAATCTCGTAAACAGCTAAAGCACTGGCGTCTCCCAGCCTCCTCCCCTCAATAGACCAAGATACTTTTCACCCTCCAGGCCTCCCACTACTGTGTACCTCAGCCCCTTCCCTTCTCTGGGCCACTTCTATCTTCCCACCCATAAAATGGAGGAGGAGCGAGGTTGCTCTAGATGGAGGTTATCAAACAATGTTGGCTTCTAGGACCTCCAGGAAGGCCCGGTCCTTAGAATGGAGACCCCTCTCCAAACATCTCCCTGCTTCACCAAGACCTAGTCCTAAGCCTGGCTCCCACTGCTGACCACTGCTCCCACCGATGACACTCATGACCCTTCCCTATTTCCGCTGTGTTCCTGGCACTCAGTCATGGCCCAGAGTAGATGCCAAGGGAATGTTGGTTGAAGACGTGAAGTTCATCCTGCCTTCATGAAGTTCATGGCTCTTCATCTGTTTTGGGGGGTGGGGTGCTGGCCTTCTTCAAGCCTTGCTCCCTGGCTCTGCACCCTGGTGGGAAGGCACTGTGGGCAGCCAGGGACATGCTCACCTTGATGCCCACGTGGGTGTTGTGGGCGTCTGCCCGTGCCCGCAGGTCCTTGTTTCCTCTCTTGGACCCCAGGAAGTTGCTCAGAAACTTGGTGCTGTACTTGAGGTTGTCACCACACACGCCCCACTGCCAGGCCTGCCGGCTCTCCAGCCCCGGAGAGTCATCACAGGTGCAGCGCTCCATGCGCCCAGCGCTGCAGGCCCGGGCCAGGGTGTGGGTTAGGGCGGCAGAGGACACCGCATACAGGAAAGCTGTCTCTTTGAAGCCTGGATCGGGCACCCAGGGGTATAGGGAGGGAGGAAAGGGGGAAGAGAGGGAAGGAGAAAGCTTAGAGGCTGCCTGCCGCCCTCTGAGGGCAGGAGGTGGTGGTGGCAGTGCCATGATGGGCAGGACAAGGGAATGTGGCTTGAGGACACAGCTCCGGGTGGGTCTCCCTGTCAACTGCCCCTTAAATTCTGACTGCAAGTTGCCATTTAAATGGAACTTCCAGGCTGGGCGCAGTGGCTCGTGCCTCTAATCCCAGCACTTTAGGAGGCCAAGGCGGGCAGATCATTTGAGGTCAGGAGTTCAAGACCAGTCTGGCCAATATGGTGAAACCCTGTCTCCACTAAAAATACAAAAATCAGCTGGGCATGGTGGCACATGCCTATACTCCCAGCTACTCAGGAGGCTGACGCAGGAGAATCACTGGAACCTGGAAGGTGGAGGCTGCAGTGAGCTGAGATTGTGCCATTGCACTCCAGCCTGGGTGACAGAGGGAGACCTTATGTCAAAAAAAATTTAAAAATTTATAAATAAATAAATAAATGGAACTTACAAATTCACTATGGAGTATGTGCCCAGATTTCCAGAGGGCAGCAGGCCAGGGGCTACGGCCTCCACCTCTCAGAACACTGAGATGCAAAGAGAAGCTACTCAGAAAACTGGTGCAGGCACAGTTGGGGCTAAACTTGCCATTTTGACTCTGAGTCAGCGTGTGACCATTTGGACCAGTCTATGTCTGAGGCCCCTGAGATAAGCCCCGGGGGCTTCCTGTGAGGCATGATGGTTCTCAAATGTCATTCTCTGCTACCCACTGTGGAATAGACCCAATGACAGAGTGACCTTGAGTCTCCTGGCTGACTTGCCCCAGACTGACCATCCCACCCACTCCGGGACCACTGCTCTCCTCTCTGCTGGGTGTGGCCCAAAGCTGGCCTCTCACCGGCTCACTACTTCCTACCTGCCCTCCAGTGCATCTGGGTGCTGGTGACATCCCACAAGAGACACAGAGAGAGGCTATTAGCTTGGCTGCAGACCGTGGAGAGCAGCTGGCCTAGGAGGGGCATGGCTGCCCTGTACAGCATCACTGCTTTTTTTTTTTTTTTTTTTTTTTGAGACAGAGTCTCGTTCTGTCTCCCAGGCTGGAGTACAGTGGTGCGATCTTGGCTCACTGCAACCTCCACCTCCCAGGTCAAGCAATTCTCCTGCCTCAGCCTCCCGAGTAGCTGGGATTACAGGCACCTGCCACCATGCCGGCTAATTTTTGTATTTTGGTACAGATGGGGTTTCACCATTTTGACCAGGCTGGTTACAAACTCCTGACCCTGGCCTCCCAAAGTGCTGGGATTACAGGTGTGAGTCACGGCAACCAGCCAACTGCAGTTTTTAAATGTTTGTATTTTTAGTAGAGACGGGGTTTCACCATATTGGCCAGACTGGTCTTGAACTCCTGACCTCAAGTGATCCACCCGCCTCAGCCTCCCAAAGTGCTGGGATTAGAGGCACAAGCCACTGTACCCAGCCTGGAAGTGCCATTTAAAATGGCAACTTGCAGTCAGAGTTTAAGGGGCAATTGACAGGGAGACCCACCCAGAGCTGTGTCCTCAAGCCACATTCCCTCGTCCTTCCCCTTCAAAAGTCCTTTCCCCTTGGCGAGGGAGTCACATGGTGATCTGTGTTCTCCCTTCCAGACTGCATGGTTCCCGAGGGCAGCTGGGGTCTTGTTCAGAATCTGGCACAGTGCCTGGCTCACTATAAGCCTCCACAGATGCTTAGTGGGTGGGTGGAGGTGGGAGGGAGGTAGAATGGGAGTGGAAGGGAAGGAGGGACTGATGGATCGATGGATGTGATGAACAAAGGGACAGATAAAGGAGTGAACAAATGCATGGCCTGGCTCGTGTCATCGGGCCTGGAACCAGCTGCCGCCCATCCTCACGTCTTCATGTGCCTTGTTTTGTGTCTGTGTGTGTGTGTGTGTGTGTGTGTGTGTGGCAGAGGGAGACAACTGGGGGACCCCCATCTCATCTGTGGGCTCCTCCAGGAATAGGCTTGTGTCTCCTTCTCTCTTGGATCTTCCTTGCTCCTCTGCTGCCCCAAACCTGAGGCTGGGCCACACCTGGCCTTCAACTGTCCCTCATTAACTCCCAGAACTCTTCTCATTTGGGACTGTGCTAGGGCAGGAAGGGCAGTGTGGCCTGGACACAGGAGCCAGGAAAAAGGAAAGGGCAACCTCTCCCAGCCTCCTCCTCCCTGAAGCCTTCTTCCCCCAGCCCTCCTCCTCCCCTGGCCCTCCTCCCCACCTCTCTTGAGCAGGCCCGTCCTGCCCTCCAGGCTACAGTTCCAGCGCTCATGCCGGAACTGGAACTGGCACTCAAGCAGGCCGAGGTGCGCAGCGTCCCGCAGGGTCTCAGCCAGGCCAGGCTCCCTCCGGCAGAGCTGCTTCTGCCGCCGGGACAGCTTCAGCAGGTCGCACTGCTTCAGGTGGGCCCCGCCCTGTGCTGGGGCCGCTGCAGTGCCCAGTCCTGGGAAGGGCGTCAGGACCTCCCGCCCGGTCAGGCTAGAGAGAGTGAGAGGAGGGAGACGGGTGAGCCTTGGGGATGGTGGTGACGGGCAAGTGAAGGGAAGGGGCCTCTTCAGGGGCTTCATTTACTGCCCTTCTGGGTGGCAGGTTGACCCCCTGGAGGTCCCGTCCCCATTTTACAGGAAACCAAGGTTCACGTAACAAGGGTTGCTGCAGGACTTTAATCCTGTTTTCCAGATTCCAGTCTCTGCTCTTCTTATCCACCCTATTTCCCAAACTGGCCCAGTTAGAAAAATCATCTGGGGTGCTTATTAAAAATATGCTTTCCCAGGATCCATGCTGGGCAATTCTGGGTCTGTTGGTTTGGAATTGGGCCTGGGAATCTGTATATTTACCACAGTCCCTGGGCAGCTTTTGTGATCTGGGAAGTCTGGGAAATGATGCACAGAGTACTGGTGACTGCCTGGCCAGGAGAGCCACATTCCTAAGAGGGGGCAGGCAGAGGGGATGTGGACATCGAGCGGACACCCAGCCAAGGTCCCCTGACATCCCTCTCTCCCTTACATTATGCTGCTGCCCAAGTAATGTCATACCAATCTAACATGTTTCCGTAATTCCCAGATAGATCTTCAACCATCCGACCACTCGGTGCCTGGAACAAATAGATGCCTGGAGAGACAAGGGGATGGAAGGAAAGAGAAGGGAAGGAAGGAAGGAAGGACTGATGGATGGCTAGATGAAGGTGAAGGAGCTGAATTCCCATCAGGCCATCAATCCCAGACTTCTTGTTCTCTTGGATTGAAAGTTCATCAATTCTAGAGCCAAGCTGCCCAGTTCTAAGGCTGACATTCTGGCTATGCAATCTTGACACCTTGGTTTTTTCCCTTCTGGAAACTGGGCAGCATAATCTTCTCTACCTCCTAGGGTTGCTGGGAGGATTATATGACATGGACTAACCACAGTGCCTGGGACATGCAGGCCTACCTTCCTACTAGCTGGAGCTTCCCAAACTTCTCTCATTTTGCAAGATGCTTTCCTCTCCAGCTAAGCAGAGTCTCCCCTTTGTCCAGATGAGGAAACGAAGGATGTATGAGGAGGCAGTAACTGGCCTGGTCATACAACAGATCAGGAGCAGGGTGGGAATTCGAATTAGAGTTCGCCTTCCCTCTTCCCAGAAGCTCTCTATGAGATGGCTCTGCTGGTTCAAAATGTTTGCTGTCCTATACCCTGGCGCCCCCAGTGTGGGTGGAATATACATCATTCCAGGACCCAGCCCAAAAGAAGTAACCCCGTTCTGGGACATCCTGGCCTCATAGCCAGGGTAAAAGATCAAAGGTGGGCTGGGTACAGTGGCTCGCGTCTGTAATCCCACACTTTGGGAGGCCGAGCAGGTGGATTGCTTGAGTCTAGGAGTTTGAGAGCAGCCTGGGTGACAGCAAAACCCTGTCTCTACTAAAAATAGAAAAATAAGGTGGGCATGGTGGCACAGGCCTGTAGTCTCAGCTACTTGGGAGGCTGAGGTGGAAGGATAGCTTGATCCTGGGAGGTGGAGGCTGCAGTGAGCTGAGATCGCATCACTGCACTCCAGCCTGGGCAACAGAGCAAGACCCTATCTCAAAAAAGACCAAAAAAAAAAAAAAAAAAGCAAAGGTGGAAGCAGGCAATGGCTCTTAGAGCTCCTGCTTGGATGTGGCACTTGCCACTGTTGCTTATGTGCCACTGGCCAAGGTAAGTCCTGTGGTCAAGCCAGGAGTGGTCAGAGAAGCCCACGTTCCTCTGAGCCAAGGGCACAGCTCTCCTGTTTGGAGCCACCTGCCTTAATCAGGACGTCTGACTGGATGCCACACCCTCTCTGTATGCCCCAGGAGTTGGAAGCCTCACTGGAGGGTATGTGGCCTGGCCAGGCCCCAGGTGCCCTCAGAAATCACCCGTAGATTCCACACCCATCAGGTGCAGTCAGCCCACCATGGAGCATATCTCCGAAACCTCCGAGCAGAGACAGATGCTATCGGGCTCCCCCTGGCCAGCCTGGCCCTGGGCTCCTCTCCCAGACAGGGTGAGGGCAGGGACCCGTTAATCATTAATCTGGGGGCAAATGGGTAATTTTCCAGTCCACCAGGTCTACACCCAAACCCCTCCCTGCAGCCTGGCAGGAAACCCTCAGAGTTTGACCCTTGGCAGGTCCAGAGCAGAACTAGATGTCAACTCCAGCTGAGGCCACGCCTTGACTGGCTTCCAGTGTGGAGGGCAGCTTGGGGGCTGCAGCTACCTTGCCCTCAAATATCCTCCTCCTCACACTGAGGGCTGGTGTGAGCGGCGACTTTTGCTCACACAATTCCTGTGTTTCAGAAACTGGACCTCTCTGGTAGCAGCTGATTGACAGAGGGGAGAGCGAGCAGGGAGTAATGGAAATTTTGGCCAATGAAGCTGCATATCCTTCAAGACCTGCCTCATATGCCATTTTAAGAATAATAGCCAGTCGGGCGCGGTGGCTCAAGCCTGTAATCCCAGCACTTTGGGAGGCCGAGGCGGGCGGATCATAAGGTCAGGAGATCGAGACCATCCTGGCTAACACGGTGAAACCCCGTCTCTACTAAAAAATACAAAAAACTAGCCGGGCGAGGTGGCGGGCACCTGTAGTCCCAGTTACTCGGGAGGCTGAGGCAGGAGAATGGCATAAACCCGGGAGGCGGAGCTTGCAGTGAGCTGAGATCCGGCCACTGCACTCCAGCCTGGGCGACAGAGCGAGACTCCGTCTAAAAAAAAAAAAAAAAGAAGAAGAATAGCTATGATTATTACATCATTATAGCTACATTATATGTCATATGATATGACATGATATATAACATATGATTACTATTTTTTGAGACAGTCTTGCTGTGTGGTCCAGACTGGAGTGCAGTGGCATGATCTCAGCTCACTGTAACCTCTACTTCCTGGGTTCAAGCAATTCTCCTTCCTCAGCCTCCCAAGTAGCTGGGACTACAGGTGTGCGCCACCATGCCAGGCTAATTTTCATATTTTTAGTAGAGACGGGGTTTCACCATGTTAGCCAGGCTGGTTTTGAACTCCTGACTTCAAGTGACCCACCCGCCTCAGCCTCCCAGAGTGCTGGAATTACAGGCGTGAGCCACTGCACCCTGCCCAAGCTATGTTCTTGTCTGGGACTCCCCTAAAGTGTGGGGTGAAGGCTCAGAGTTGGTTTGTCTAACTAAAGGCATCATCCTTGATTCTGACCTCTGACATCTGAAGAGTGCCAGAATTCCCTAGGCTGCACTTGGGAGCCAGACCCAGCAAACCCCTCCACTCATTCAACAGGCATCTGGTTTTTGTTGGTTGGTTTGTTTGTTTTTGTTTTTGGTGTTTCTGGCATGGAGTGGGTGGAGGCCAGGGATGCTGCCCAGCACCCTGCAGTGCCCAGAACGGCCTCACCCCACCACGATGTCCACAATGCCCAGGGGAAGAGACCCTGGAGGGGGCAGTGGGTCTCAAACAGTGCCCAGCTCTGCATGGCCAGCGTTGTTGGGAGCTCGGTGGAATGCAAATCCCCAGGCCCCACCCCAGAGGCATCTGTTTTTTAAATTTCATCTAATGGACCCTGAGATTGATGGCTCAGAGAGTCCAGTATCAAGTCGGTTAATTTTATTAGTGGTAATGACACTTAGTAGCGATTAATGACCAGGAAAGGCAGCCAACCGCACAGAGGCCTCAGGCCACATTGGGCCCTGGTCTGCCCAGGGCTGCTCTCAAAAAAGGCTCCCTGGCACGGCCTTGGGAACCCCACGGGGCCCATGAAGACAGCCCGGGAGGCCCAAAGACCCAGTTCCCCTCTGTTTGTTTTCTGTGTTGCTGTTTGAGATCATATTTCCTTTGAAGAAATAGTGCCATGGCATCACATGTAGAAAATGACCATCTATTTTCCTAAACAGTGAATTATCCTACACCTGCTCAGCCCATGGCTTCTGCTGGGAAGGTATCTTCCTAGACCCCATAATAATTCTGGCTGTGGCAGGCTCCAGCCTGCTCAGAGGTCAGCAGGCACCATGTCATCCCCTGGAAGAAGTCATACTCTTTGGCATCCCAGGCCTGCAGACACCGCTCACTGGGTCCTTCTGTGAAATCTCAATTACCCACAGTTAGCTGAGTGCTGAGGGGGTAAGATGGACAACTGGAGAAATTTGAGTGGGCTTCCTTAGTCTTATGAACCCAGAAAAAAAAGTGTTTATTTTGGTGTTTTGTTTTGTTTTGTTTTTTATGGAGTCTCAGTCTGTCACCCAGGCTGGAGTGCAGTGGCCAGATCTTGGCTCACTGCAACCTCTGCCTCCCGGGTTCAAGCGATTCTCCTGCCTCAGCCTCCCAAGTAGCTGGGATTACAGACGTGCACCACCAGGCCCAGCTAGTTTTTTTGTGTGTTTTTAGTAGAGATGGGATTTCGCCATGTTGGCTAGGTTGGTCTCAAACTTCTGACCTCATGTAATCCGCCCACCTCGGCCTCCCAAAGTGCTGGGATTACAGGCATGAGCCACCACACCCAGCCAAATACGGGGGTCTTAATGAAGATGCTGCCTTGTGGCCAGTCAGATGCTATCAGATGAAACAAGTAACCAGGGTTCTGAACTAAAGGGCAGAGGAACGGTTATTTGCCAACCTGCTAATTGCTCTTCTGGGCTGGGGGCTACTGCCTGGCTCAGCTGCTCCTGAGCCTCCTGGGGCTACCACTCTTATCAGGCTGCACCTGCTCTGGCCCAGCTACCTCCACTATTCCTGTCTGTCTCAGGCTCCCCCAGGCTGACTTCCAGCCTCTCTTTTCCTATTAAGAAAGCTATGACCCCAAGTGAACAGCGGCCCCCTCCCCTCGCTGCCCCCAGTCTGTGTCCCTCTGCTCTCTGCACCCTCACCCCATGGTCCTTGGTGGTCAGGTTGATCATAAGACCAGAGCCCCCACCTCCACACATACAATGACCTCTGGCTTGGACCCCAGGGTACCCCCAACCACTTGACAGACCAGCCTGTCTTTCTCTAGAGTGGGAGAAGTC